TTTCTTTCTTTCTTTCTTTCTTTCTTTCTTTCTTTCTTTCTTTCTTTCTTTCTTTCTTTCTTTCTTTCTTTCTTTCTCCAAATGCCTTCAGGGCAGGCTGAAGCAGGAAGATCCTTAGGAGTTCGAGACCAGCCTGGGCTACAAATACAAGTTCAGCATGAGCTACATAGTGAGACCCTATCAAAAAAACCCCAAACACCTCTCTGAAACCCAGAGATGGAAAAATGAAAATTACTATCCCCAAAGACAACTGCTATCTAAGCTCTGGTAACTTATCTATCTGTATTTACATATATATGGCTCACAGAACTTGTTTACAGGTTATTTTTTCATTAAATACTTATGAAGTTTTAAAATTCACACAATCTTGGTGTGTGTTTTGATATAGGGTCTCAGTATGTAGTTCAGGCTGCCCTTGAATTCACTGTATAGCTCAGACTGGCCTTAACCTTGTGATCTTCCTGCTTCAGCCTCCCAAGTGCTGGGACTACAGATATGTGCCAGCATGCCCAGCTTTTATTGTTGTTTTGTTTTACATACAGGATTTTGTTATGTTCTCTGGGCTAATCTCAAACTTCTGGGGTCAAGTGATTCCTCTGCCTCAGTCTCTCAATTGCTGAGACAATAGGCCCACAATACCACACATAATCATATGCAACTTTTAAAATGTTTTATGAAGGGCCAGTGAGATAGCTCAGCGGACTAAGCACCTACTTAAGCAACACAGGGGCCAGGGTTCCATCCCTGGCACCACATGCTATGCCAGCCCTGCCCCTGGGTGCTCTAAGCCAGTGACTGAGTCTAGGCGTGGTGGTGCACGCCTGTAATCCCAGCGCTGGGGAGGCATCACTATGAGTTCAAGCTGTGTAGTGAGACCCTACACAAAAAATTAAAATGGTTTATGATACTCCATGTACAGAATTACTATAATTTTGGGCTAAAGATGTAGCTCAAGTAGAATGAGCCAGGGAGATAGCTCAGTAGAATAGGTGCTTGCCTGGCAAGCTAAGGTCCTGAGTTCAATCCCTGGTACCGCGGGAAAAACAAAAACATCAATCAAGTGATAGAATGCTTCCTTAGCATGTCATGGGTTTAAGTGTGAACACCTCAAAAACATACAAAACCAAAATTCTACTTTTACATAACTGTTGAGCCAATGAACCAACCTTCCTGCCTTTCTTGGTGCTGGGAATTGACCTTCACAGTGAGCTATATCCCTTGTATTTTTTGTTTTGTTCTGTTTTGGGGGTTTTTGGTACTGGGAATTGAATATAGGACTTCACACTTGTCAGGCAGGTGCTGTGCCACTGAGTTATAGCCCATCCCAACCCAGTCCTCTTGTTTTTTGACACAGTTTTATTTTTATTTATTTATTTATTTTTTTAAAATTATTTATTTATTATTTTTATTTATTGTGTGTGTGGACAGCTCAGCCCACCAGGGGGTGGGCTGGCTGGCATGTGGTGCTGGGGGATCGAACCGCAGTCCCTGTGCTTTGCCAAGCTTGTTTCAAGTAGGTGCCTTAGACCACTGAGCCATCTCTCCAGCCCTTGACACAGTTTTAAACTTGTCCTCCTGTCTCAGCTTCCCAAATGGCTGGGATAACAAGTATATGCCACTATACATGGCTTAAGCAATTTTTTGTAGGATATAATGTAATTAACATCTGTTCCAAGATCTTTATGTATCTCTATATATTCTTAGGGTAGATTCTCTCAAAATGCCTTTTTTTTTTTTTGTCTTTTTAAGACAGGGTCTCTGTATGCAGTTCAGACTGGCTTTGAACTTACTTTGTAGCCCAGACTGATCTTGAACTTGCAACAATCCTCCTGCCTCAGCCTGCTGAGTGCTGTGTTTATAGGCATGCATCTGGCTTCAAAAGGGCATCTACATTTCTAGGACATCAGAATTTTTTTAAAAAATGTATTTAGTACAAGGTCTATAGGGTCTCACTACACAGATCAGGTTCGTAGTGCTGCTCCTGTTTTCAGCCTCCAAGCACTGAGATTACAGGCACGTGCCACCAGCCCAGTCTCAATTGCAGTCTCAGTGAGCTCTGGCATTGGGGCTGGCACAGCACGTTGTGAATGGAACCCCAGTCCCTGCACCTGCTTAAGCAGGTGTGTTGGTCTGCTTTTTTTTTTTTTTTTTTTTTTTCCTGTATTTAGTACAGGGTCTACAGGGTCTCACTATGTAGATTGGACTTTTAGTGATTCTTGTTTTCAGCCTCCCAAGTGCTAGGATTACAGGTGTGCACCACCATGCCCAGTCTCAATAGCTGTTTTAGTGTGCCCCATGGGTGGGGCCAGCATGGCATGCTGGGGATCAAACCCCAGCCTGCGGAGCTATCCGGCCATCCTCATCTGAATTATTTTCTCAGTGCAACAGGCAATGTATTTTAGATCATTTGACCTGCCAAACTGATAGCCAGAAAAGCTGTAGAAAATTTATCCTCAACAGCAATTTCTAAGGAAATTGCTTTCTTTTTTTTGTTTTTTCAGCCAGGGTCTCCATACATACTTCAGGCTGATCTTGAACTCAATACATGGCTCAAGCTGGTCACAAATTTGTAGTAATACTCCTGCCTCAACCTGTAAGAGATGTGATTACAAGCATGTGCCA